CGCCAGCCTTCTGGTTAGCAGTCAAGTGCCTCAGGCACTACACTACCAGAGCTCCTTCATATAGTCTAGCTTCTCAAATTTTTTTCCAATGTACAGCGTGAATAAGTATAGTGAAAGAATACAATCCTCACACCTTTCCTGATTTTAAACCACCCTTGTTCAAATGACTGCCTCTTGGTCTATGTGCAGTTTCCTTATGAAAAAACTTAAATCTTCACCCAAATCACAATAAAAAAATATAATAATTATCAGGAAAAAAAAATCTTCTGGAATTCCTTTTTTTTTTAAATGTTATCCTTACTTTGTTATGATCCACACAGTCAAATACTTTTGTATAGTCAATAAAACACAGGTAAACATCTTTCTGGTATTCTTTGCTTTCAGCCAGGATCCATCTGACAGTAATATCTCTCATTCTAAGGGTTCTTCTGAATTTGGCTTGAATTTCTGGCAGTTTCTTATCAATACACTGCTGCAAATCTTTCTGAATTATCTTCAGCAGTATTTTACTAGTGTATGATATTAATGGGAGCTCTGGTGGTATAATGCCTAAGGCATTTGACTGCTAACCAGAAGGCTGATCGCTCAAACCCACCAGCCATTCCTCAGAAGGAAGATAGGGCAATCTACTTCCATAAAGATAGTGCCTCGGAAACCCAAGGGGGGGTTGCTATGAGTCAGATCCGACTCGACTGCAGTGAGTTTGGTTTGATTTTTGGATGATATGAATGATATGGTTTGACAATTTTCACATCCTTGGATCACCTTTCTTTAGAATGGGCACAAATATGGATCAATTCCCTTCAGTTGCCCAGGTAGCTGTCTTCTTAATTTCTTGGTATAAATGAATAAATGCCTCCAGAGCTGCACCCATTTGTTGAAACATCTCAATGGATAGCCAGTGCATTCCTGGAGCGTTGTTTTTCACCAATTTCTTCAGTATAGCTTAGACTTCTTCCTTGAGTACTATGAGTTCTTGATTATATACTACTTTCTGAAATACTTTAACTCTGACCAATTCTTTTTGGTATAGTGATCCTGTTCATTCCTTCCATCTTCTTTATGCTTCCTGCATCATTCATTATTTTGCCCTTAGAATCCTTCAATAGTGAAATTCAAAGCTTGAATTTTTTCTTCAGTTCTTTGGATTGAGAAATGCTGTGCGTTTTTTTTTTTCCCTTTTGATTTTCTGATTATATGTTTTTGCACATTTCATTATAATGTTTTACTTTGTCTTCTCAAGCTGCCCTTTGAAATACTCTATTCAGCTCTTCATCATTTCTTCCATTTGCTTTAGCTACTCTTTGTTCAAGAGCAAGTTTCAGAGTCTCTTCTGACATCCATTTTGGTATTTTCTTCCATTCCTGTCTTTTTAATGACCTTTTGCTTTCTTCATGTATGATGTTCTTGATGTCATCACATAGATCGTCTGGTCTTCAGTCACTGGTGTCCCAGTGTGTCAAATCTATTCTTCAGATGATTTATAAATTCAGGTGTAATATAAACAAGGTTGTATTTTTGCTGTCATGGACTTGTTTTAATTTTCTTCAGGTTCAACTTGAACATGCACAAGAGCAATTGATGGTCTATTGCACAGTCAACTCCTGGCTTTGTTCTGATGATGGTATTGAGTTTCTCCATTACTTCTTGCCACAGACACAGTCAATTTAATATCTTTGTATTCCATTTTTGCGAGGTCCAGGTGTCTAGTCTGTGTTAATATTGTTGAAAAGGGTTCTTGTTTTCATGCCAGTGAGCCAGCTCTGACATACAGTGACTCTAGGTACAATAAAATAAAACACTGCCTATATTGCTCCATCCTCACAATCCTTTCTATATTTGAGTCATCACTGTGTCTATCCATCTTGCCAAGGATCTTCCCCTTCTTTGCTGCCCTTTACTTTACCAGTCATGATATCCTTCTCTGGGGAATGGTCCCTTCTAACAACTTGAATAAAATAGGTGAGACAAAGTCTGCCCATTCTCATGTCCAAGGAGCATTCTGGCTGCACTTCATCCAGGACAGATTTATTCATTCTGCTGGCAGTATTTTCAGTATTCTTTGCCAACACTAGATTTCAAAGATATCACCTTTTCTTTTGTCTTTGTATTCAGTGTCCAGCTATCACAAGTTTATCAGATTTTTGAAAATGCCTTGGCTTGGGTCAGGCGCATCTTAGTCTTAAAAGTGATATTTTTATGATTAGACACTTCACCAAAGAGGATAATCAGGTGACCAGTAAATACATGAAGAAATGTTCATAATCATTAGCCATCAGAGAGATGGAACTCAAAACAACAGTGAGATACCATCTCCCCCAGCACTAATGGCAAAGTTCAACAAGACAGAAAATAACAAATGCTGGCAAAAATGTGGAGAGTTTGGGACTCTCATACACTACTGATGGGACTGTCAAATGATACAACTACTGTGGAAAACAATATGGTGATTCCTTAAAAAGGTGGAATTCGAAATACCATTTGACCCAGCCATTCTGTTACTAGGTGTATATCCTAAGCAACTGAGAGCCAAGATAAGAACAGATACATGCACAGCCATGTTCATTGCAGTACTATTTACAATAGCAAAAAGATGGAAACAACCTATGTGCCCATCAACTGAAGAATGGATAACCAAACTATGGTACATACACACAATGGAATATTATGCAACACTAAAGAATAATGTAGAATCTGCAAAACACCACATAACATGGATTAACTTGGAGGACATTATGCTGAGTGAAATAAGTCAATCACAGAAAAACAAATATTGTATTAGTCCATTATTATCAAAAGTAAATGTGGAAGGGAACTTTGTTTGTTGGTTACCAAGGGTGGGAAGGGAGGGAAGGGAACACTGCAAAAAAAAAAAAAAAAAGTATTTCACCATACATAACTTACATTTCAATAAAATGTATTTTTTAAAGTGATATTTTTGCTCTTTGTGACTTTAGAAAGATCTTTTGCAGTAGATTTGCACAGTGCATTATGACATCTGTTTTTCTGACTATTGCTTCCATGGTCATTGTCTCTTGTTGTTATGTGCTGTCAAATAATTTCTGACTCATAGCAAGCCCATGGAAAGCAGAACAAAACATCACCCGATCCTGTGTCAGCTCCATGATCCTTGCTATACTTGAGCCCATTGTCACAGCCACTGTGTCAATCCATCTCATTGAAGGTCTTCTCCTCTTTTGTCGACCCTCCACCTTACCAAGCATGACATCCATCTCCAGGGAATGGTCCCTTCTCACAACATGACCAAAGTAGGTGAGACAAAGTCTGGCCATTCTCACCTCCAAGGAGCATTTTGGCTGCACTTCCTCCAGGACAGATCTGTTAGTTCTTTTAGCAGTCCATGATACTTTCAGCATTCTTTGTCAGCACCATAACTCAAAAGCATCAACTCTTCTTCAGTCTTCCTTATTCATTGTCCAGCTCTCACATGCATATGAAGTTATTGGAAATATCATGGCTTGTGTCAGGCACACCTTAGTCCTCAAGGAGACATCCTTGCTCCTCAGCACTTGAAACAGTTCCTTTAGGGCC